TTGGGGTCACCCCGCAGCTCCGAGCATCCCTGCGGCTGCGGGAGCTTCTCCCCCAGCACCAATCGCTCCCACCCCCGTACTTGTCCAGACCCTGTGTGAGGGGGGACACGGGCACCCCCTCTGCAGCCCCTGTAACTCCCCGGGCTCCCGGTTCTGCCCAGGGACCCCCGTGACAGCGGTGGGGTGAAGGCAGGGACCAGCGGCAGGCCGGGGATGGGGGGTCCCCGGGCGGGGAGCACCAGGGGATGCCCCCGCTCCCCCGGCCGGAGCCCGGAGCTGCCGGCCCCGCGGGTCCGTCATAATCATTGGGGGAAGACAATGAGCGTTGTTTATCCCCGGCACTTTCCCTGCCGAGGGGGTGCAGGTGAACCCCGACCCCACGGGGGACACCCCACGGGGGACACCCCACGGCCACCCCCGCCGCAGCACCACCGGCATCCCCAAGGGAGAACCGTGGGTGTGTGAGGGGACCCCATCCCTATCCCTCAAGGGGGGGACCCCATGGACCCCGAGTGGAACCAACCCCGACCCCCCACTGGGCCTGGCGCCCCCCTCGCACCCGAGCAGCGGCCCCGGGAGGGTGCGGGGGCTCCGGGCCGGGCCGGGCCGAGCAGGGCCGGGGTGTGGGGTTTGGGGAGCTGTGTCTTTAAGAGATGGCTGGCTCCAGGTTGCAGCTGCTGTTTCTGTGCTATAGAGACAGTGGAGATTCATTACTCCTAAAACACAATGGGCATTTATCACCCCGTGGTGTTATTCAAATCCAGTACCAATTGAAGGTCATCCCCATTCTTTTCTCGCCGGCTCTGCAACACATTTATTGTTGTGCCGTTCAACTAAAAGCCCTGCCCGGCCCCGGCGCAGCCCGCAGAGCCCCGGTGTGCGCATCCCTCCCGGGCGGATTCGGGACCCTCCCGGCTGGATACGGCGTGGAGGAAGAGGGGCAGCGCCGGGGCGGCTCTCGGGGCCCGAGGAGCCGGCAGCAGGTGCAGCCGCGGCCCCACCGCCGCCGCCGGTGCCCGCCGAGCCGCGGGGACCGCCCGCTCCGCCCCGCGGCACGCACCTTCCGCGCCCCGTGGAAACTCGGAGCCCCGCCGGGGCGCTTCGGGCAGCAGCGGGGCCGCCGCTCGCCCGGCCCCGGCCCCCACGGCTTCCCCCGGGGGGCACCGGCCACGGCTCGGCCCCGCGGCGCAGCGGAGCGGCCGCCGGCAGCGGCGGCGAGGGGGGGAGCGCCGGCCAGCGGGCCGGGATTTTCCCTGGCTGGAGAGGGGGGATCTGCTCCCAACTTCGTGGGAGCCGGTCGGTGAGAGGGGGCTGGGGGAGAAGCCTGGATTTTTCTTCTTTTTCCTTTGATTTTGCAATTATTATTATTATTATTATTATCAATTCCCTCCCCCCCCCCCCCAGCCGGGCATTTACAAATTCCGGCGATTTTCCAAAGTGCCCGAATTTTGAGGACGATCCGCTTGGAATCGGTCAATTCTCCGCTGCGGGAGGGAGCGGCGGCGGCCGCAGCGCGGGCCCGGGGACTGTGCCCGCATCGCCCCGCCGAGCCCCCGGCACCGAGCGGCGGCCAGCGCGGCCCCGAGCCCCGCGCCCCGGGGCTGCCCGGCGGCTCTGCCCGCTGCTTTCGTTCTCCGTTTTTCTTCCTTTTCCCTTTTTTTCCTCTTTCTTTCCCTTTTATTATCTTTTTTTTTCTTTGATTTTTTTTTAATTTTCCTTTATTATTATTGTTTTTTAATAAGGCCGCTTTTTTTTTTTTTTTCACTATTTCTTTTCCGGAGGGGCAACAAACGAGTTGATAAATTAAACCCCTCGCGGTGCCATCAAATCGAAACCGGGATGCGAAGCGCTGAGGCTGCGCTACAAACTTGTTGAGGCCGGAGCAGCGGCTCCATGGGGCCCGGGGGGCACCAGAGAAGCGGGGGACCGGGGTGATGCTGCGGGCGACGGCGGGCAGCCGGCTCGGTGCCCGTGTGTCCTTGTTTTCCAGGCTCCAGCCGGAATCCCCTTTGGAAGATCCCGCGAGCCCGGGATGGGAATCTCCGCTCCTGATTGTCCAAACGCAATTCTTGTGCGATGGAGCCGTACGAACCAAGAATTGTGTCTGGACATCTGTAGCAGAGGTTCCGACTCCACCGGCCGGGCTCCGGGAGGATGCGTTGGGGCGGCAGAGAAAGGACGGAGCCCCGGGCTCGGGCACGGCAAGGTAACCGGTTATCTGTAAGCCCGGGGAAGCCTTAGCGAGGGTTTCAAGGAAATTAAACAAACACCGGTGGCTTGGGGGATCCGAATGCGTCAAATACCGGCCGGGTCCTCACCGGGACCGGGCAGGGACCGAGGGGCCGGAGCCGAGCGCGGCGCCCCGGCCCTGCGGCTCCAGCCCCGGTTTTCCTCCTGCGATTTATTTATCCATCGCTTTGAAATCGCGGTTTCATTTTATCCAACGTATTTCGACCCCTCTGCACCGGGACACCCTCATCATCATCATCATCATCATCCGCATCCTCCTCCTGCTGCTGCCGCCGCAGCACCGGCTCACCGCGGGCAAACGGAGGCCGCTCCGGTCTCCGTCGAGCAGGGAACCGTCCCCGCAGCCCGGGTACCGGCGGCGAGCGGCCCGGGCCCGGCTCTCCTGGCCGAGGGATGCGGGGACGGGGCCACACTCAGCGCCCGGGCTGAGAGGGGACCGGGCCGGAGAGAAGCCAAGAAGCTGCGGTGGCCCCGGCGATGGAGAAGACGCTTTCAACGAAGAGAAGGCTTTCCAGAGAGGAAGGCTTTCCATAGAGAGGCTTTCTGGCTCTGCAAGCCAAGCGCCTCGGCTGGGGCTGCCAAGGAAACCCGGGAGGAGGAGGGAAGCATTACAAGATCCGAGCGAAATTTCACCAAGAGCCTATCTAGGACAAAGCTGGAGGCAGAGAATGGCTTAAAAAGGCTTTGATTTATTTTATTTCAGAAACTTTTTGAGTTTTGTGTTACAGGGTTTTGCTGTGCCCCTCTCCCCCCCCTCCCCGGCATCCCTCATCTTCCCATTTCTAGCTATTTTTTTATAGCAGTGATTGGCAGCTTTTACTACAGCAGGAGCTAAGCCATCTGGGTCTACCTGCACCGGCAAGAGGAATAACACCCCCCAAGGATGGAACTGATCCTGTCGTGAACAAACAGCTGGGGGGCACAAGGATGGAGCCTAAGGCAAAACGCGGTGTAGAGCCAGGGCCGGCTGCAGCGCTGGAGACGAACCTGCCTTTTCCTGCTTGGGTTTCAGTCGTTTCAAGCCGTGCTCCATGCAGGTTCGTTGTTTTTCAGCCAGCTCCTTCCATCACTTGGAATCTCCCCTGCACTGCCCCGGCCCAGCAAAGCTGAGGGCTGAGAACTCAGGACAGAGAAGAGCCTTTGGCCTGTGAGTGTCATTTACAAGCGGCACAAGCTGGACTCAAGTGGCTGCGGCTGGATTTGGAAAAGGCTGAATCTCGGTTTGTCACCATCAGCGGGTTTGAAGTTAGGGCTTCTCAGATGCAGCAGCATCCTGGGTGCTGTCTGTGGGTTATGGTGGGGTAAACGTGAGAGAGGAGTCACCGGAGGACTCAGACAGGGATTCACTCTATGGCATTCCCTCGGCAGAGTAATTCCTCTGTCAGGCAGGGTGGGAAGGGCTCCTTGCACGGAGCACTCGGGATCTCAGGCCAGGCTGCCCAAGCACTGCACTGCTCGCTGCCACCCTCCTCCTCCTCGGCAGCTCCTGGGGATGGAGGCCGAGGCGAGCAGCGTGTGGTACTCATCAGCTCTGGGATGCGCTGGCTGAGCTTATGGCAGCTCCGGGATTGCCGCTGCTGGGACCATCGAGAGGCTGGTGAGCAGGGCAGGGGCAGCGCAGGAAGGATAACCCTGGCTGGACACAAAAAGAAGCTCACACAGCACAGACATGTTGGTGCCCCTTCCCTCTGCTCTCACCGTGGCCTCCCGGCTGTCCAAGGAAACTTCTGGAAGCAAACAGCATCTGCGCCCAGGCAGAGCCACGCACGCCCGCTCGCAGGACCTCCTCGGGGCATGCAGTAAGAAGCCTTCCCCTCCACTGATGGAAAGGGTTAAAAGCCACTGACTTTCTTTCAGGGTCTGCCACCTCCAGCCCCAGTCCTTCCCCAGCCAGGCTGCAGCAGCCTGCCCAGAACACAGCGCAGGCTGATCAATTCTGTCCATCACGGTGACAGAAAGATAATTTGCTGCCCTTATCACTCTGTGCTGTCTCAGGCCGGGGACGGGTTTGTTTCCCCTCTAACCAAATGGTTATAGATTGGTATTGTTCCTGGGTTAGGACTTTACTCTGCCTCAGCTCAGGTATGAAAGAGGTTTAAGGCATTAGAAAAACACCCTTAAAAAAAAAAGCCTGTTTTCCTCCTATTTCCCCTAAATAAATACTGCAAGTGGAAAGTCACTACAGAGGGCTCTGGAGCTGTAATGTCTGCTACCTCACAGAGAAACTAGTAACCTTTTGTCTCCTTGCATTTCACATCTCACCCTTCCCGTGGCTGATGCACAGACTGTACCAACACCAAGTACTGTGTTAAAAGAACCCCCAGTTCCCAGCACCAAGGCAGAGGCACCCCAGCCTTGCCCCAGAGCAAGCACAATCCCCCAGCGCACCTCGCTGCCTGCAAAGACATGTTATCCTACTCGAGGTGCAGCACCCTTCTTCCTCCCACCATGGAAAACCAAAGTCTCACATGCTGCAGGTGCTCTCTGCTCTTTAGGGTACCTTGAAGTGCAGTCAGGAGAGGTGAAATGAGGACCAAAAGATGGATGCTGTTGTGATGGAGAGCAGGCCGCATGCTGGCAGGGCTTTATTTGATGTCTAGTAATGAATGAAGGCAGTGAGAAGGTGCAGAGATCGGGCACAAGCAGTTCAAGACACGTTTTGGGTTTAGGTTTTTGTTTGGGGTATTTTTTGCTCAGTGATTTGGATTTACATCCTCTTGTTCTTCCAGGGGTTCACCCGCCGTGCAGTGTCGAGATGAAAAGCACAGTATCCTGGTCCTGGAGTTTATAATCCAGCTCACCCTGCAGGCCAAGGGGAAAACATGAGAAATGGTTGAAATGGCATTTCCAAATCCTGGCTGTAAAGAGAAAACAGCCCGTAAAGCGATGGTGAGCGTTAGGGAGAGCAGAAGGGGACAGACTGATGTTTTCATCCTAAGGGAAGCGAAGGTGGGAGATCAGAGGAACTGATGTTCATTATCCCACACCGCTTCCTGGACCAGGGTTTGACAGCACTGGTGGTTGCCTGAGGCAGGACAATGGTTGGTGGCTGTTTGTTGTCTGAGCACAACAGTGGGCTGAGGAGGGAAGGTATTTACCAGTTGCCTGTTTGAGCAGAGATCTCCCCAGGGCTTCACTGCACCTTGGCCTGGTGAAGGTGGCTTGCTTGGGGCTGTGGAGCTGCCACTGTGCTGTTACCCCATGTGTGGGGGAGACCTGCCTGCAGCCAGAGGCCAGGGAAAACCGGGGGGGGGGGGGGAATGTGTGGAAGATCTCTCTTCAGGAAACACTGCCTGGCTGATGAGCCTCAGCAGGTTAGAGAAAGGCTCCAGGCTTCTAAACAGCCCCAGCACAATACAGGGAGAGAGATCCCAGCCTGCCCCTTCCCCTTCAAATAGGAGACGCTTTGCTTGGGGCAAGAAATCAGAAAGAACTTCTCTGAGAGCAACCACAGAACAGATAAGAGTAACATTTTCAACAAAGAAAGTCAAAGGGAAGGGGTACAGACCATTAGTTCCCAGTCTGCGTCGTTGATGAGCACCAAAATTCCCGGCCTCCTGCAGAACAGAGGGAAATAATTAGGATACAGGGCTGCTAAAAAGCGACACAACTCGTTAAAAACAAGGGATGTTAGAGCACAGATCACGAGCTGACTGCCTGCAAAGCCAAAGAGAAAAAGGAATCCTAGCACGGAGGTGGAAACAGGTACAGTCTGTGCCCTTTCTAGATCAAATAAAGGGGAGGCAGGAGCAATCCCAAAGCTCATTTGAATCAAAATGCACCATTCCTGAGGATGCTCTGAGATGACTACATTGCCCTTCGATGTAGGAAAGCCAGGTAATTAAAACCCACGCGCTCCAGTCGAGCGCAGAGAGCTCGATGTGAAGGTAGGGAAAGCCATCCCAGTGCCCCTACCGAAGGCACTAAACACCCGGGGATCCACTCCCAGCCCCTGATTCCGAGCAAAGGGATTCCCCCCTCTTTGATCTTCAGTGTCCTGCAATTGTCTCTCCTGTTACCAGGGGACCTGGCACATGCTTCATCTCACAAAGATCCGTGACGAATGCTCAGCACCCCCAGCGCCACCCCGCAGCACAGCTCCCTCTGCTCCATTTCTCTTGGCTTTTTACTCTTCCCCCCGCGTCCGTCCACGAGGTCGGCCCCATTTTGACAATAAAAATACATTTCCCAGAAGGAATATTTGTTGGCATTTCTCCGAGTGACTGCTTCAGTGCCAGTGATGTCAGCAGGGGACGGACAGACCTGTTAGAACTCCTGGATTGAGGATACATGCGCTATGCTGCTCCAGGTGACAACAGAGAGGAAGTATATGTGGCTCTGCTTCACGTTTAGGGTTTAAAGAGCTGGGGTGAGGGCTGCAGAAGAGGGTCTCAATGGAACAGCGCAGTGGGGGACACCTCCCACCATCACTTTAGCAGATCCCTTATTTTCATTGTCATTAACGTGCTGCTTCAAACCAACAGGGAAAACGCATCCCAAACAGTGGAGACGAACAGAAAGCCACAAGGAGGATTCAGAAGAGCTGTACTTACACAGATTCCCCTTGCATAAATAATTCTGGTCGCTCTTTCAGCAGATTCTCTTTGATCCACTGCAGCAGGTTTCTGATATCCCCTGAAAGGAGAAAGGACAGCAGTTTACAAACTGGCTGACAGCTCCGAGCTGATGCCAGAACAAAGTGCTTGTTTATCCACAAAAGAGATGAGGAACATGCAGGGTGGAAGGGGATAGCTGCAAACCTCCACTCAAAGAACCCACCCAACGGGATTGCCCCTTTAGCAGTACCTAACAGGCAGCTCTGCCCCGAAGGAGCTCAGGGCTCTGCTCCAAACTCCATGGTTTGGCAGCAGAAAATGAATCCCACAAAGAAGGGATGCAGAAGCACTGATCCAGCAGGAGACTGACACATCCCATATCCTCCTTGCTGCATTATCACCTAACAAATTGATTGTTAACTCTCTGTGTGTTTAAAGTCCATACAAATGAGCCTAAGCACCTGAAAGGAGTAAAGGCAGACACTATGGGTACCAAAACCAGCACGAACCCCTGGCAACATGAGTTCTGGGGCACAGAATGTGCACAACCATGCATTAAACACGCACACAAGCACTTGCTACAGTAGTTGTATTCTGAACACTTGGAACATTCCTCAGCATCCCACCTGCTGCCGTGGTGCTCCCTCCCTCTATACTTTGCTCTTATAGGTTCTTTATTAAAGCTCAGCCTTTATCTTTTCATTTCAGTAGGTGACAGGAAGGATTTGTCTTCATGTAAAAGGAGGAGGAGACACTGCTGGCGGGTTTTTATAGTATCAATTTTACTTTCTGAGGCAAAAACAATTTCTTTAGTGATAGCATCAGTTAATTTCCTATTGGAGAGGTGAGGAGTGACGGGGGGGGGGGGGGATGGGATAATCCGTTACAGGGTTTAGAGATGCTGACAAATTGCAATGTGGAGTTCTCCTGCATTTGCCTCTATATTTCACTGATCCTCAAACCACTTCATCATTCTGAATCCACAATCAGTTATTCTCCCGGGGCTCCTTTAAACAGCCCTTTGAAAGCCCCCAAAGAGTTTTGTTTGTTTTCCAGGCGTGAGGAAGCTTTTTGAAGGCACAAATCCACCAGTGAGGGCTGGAGCCCTGCTCACAGGAGGAGCAGGGATGTCTGGATAGGTTTCCAGGTCTGTCTCACGTGTTTCTTGATGCAGTCACAGGGAGCCCTTCCACACACGGCTCTCTAAGCTAAACTCAGGCTCTGTGTACTATTCCTTATGTGTTTGCTTCACAACCAGCAGAATGAAATGTGTGTGTAGTGGCTCGACTCAGCTCTTGCCTTATCCCAAGATTCTATGGGATTGTGGATGCTACAGAGCAGAGCTGGGGATCTTCTGGATAACGTTACCCCACCACTTCTGCCACACCAGGGATGAATCTGGCATAGGCAGGTGCACATCAAGCGGGCAACGGGGACGTGTCCATCTGTGGCAGATGGGGTCATCTTTTCCCAAGGAAAAGGGGAGGAGGATGCTCTGAGATTCCCTTTGCATCCCCTCCCTGTTTGACGGGTGTCTCTGGATGGCAGCTTTCCCCCTGGCACATCACTGCAGGGCGGCTGGGAGCACAACAGGTATTGCTGCCTCTGAGCACTGCAGTGAGCACTGAGCGCTCTGACCAGGGCAAAAAGACCTGCTTTGTGCCTTAAAACCACCCGTCAAGCTGGATCACCTGCCTGGGGCCAACCCACAGCTCCCTTGTAATGAGTTAAGAGCACAAACCAGACCATTTTCTGCTGCTTTCCTAGCAACGTGCACTGGGGCTGGATGGCGAGCGCTGCTCAAAAGGTGTACGTACACCCCGGCGGTCAGCCAGCCACCAGAACAGCAGTGAACCACATCCACCTTCCCCTGAAACCCGCTGCTGCAATGCAAAGCCCTCAGGATCTCACACCCAAACAGCTCCTGCTCTCCATCACCAAGTAATGAAAGGCAGAGAGGAAGATGGGAGAGGAGCCTTCAGGAGAAGGAGGGGGGCACAAAGGGGACCCCAGCCCCAGCGCAGCAGCGCCCGCGAGCTGTTTCATATTTATGCACTTGCAGCAGGGCACACAACAATGAGCTGTGCCAGATACCATTCTCCTCGCGTGGAATAAGCAGCCCTTTCCTCTGGGACCTTTCAGGAGAGATCATTTAAACAGAACCACGCTGCACCAGCTGGATAAAAGACAGCCACCTCGAAGCAGCCTGGATGGAGAGAGGACTGATTTATTCGAGGCTGAGCTGCAAGGCTCACCCCTACTCCTTCCATAATAAATGCTCATTTCAGCCCCACCTGAGCCTACATTCATTTATTCCTCCCTACACACACACTGAAGAATCCAGACCCAACACCCCTGTGCGTGCCTGCAGCTTCCCCACTCCAAACAGCCACAAAAAATAAGACCCCCTTGTCCAAAGCCAACCTTTAGATATAATACTTTCATCAGCTGCTTTCTCAGCATTGAATTCCTCCCCCCCCTTCATGTCTCTATGTTTTATACACCAATCTAACTAGAACAAATCAATTATAAAGGATCAAAAATGACCAGAGCCACACCAAAATCATCTCCCACAAGGAAGATATTGAAAAGGAACAAGATTACTTCCATTGCAAGGGGTCTGGGGAGAAGCCATCTTGCAGCTCAGTGCCTCGAATAGCAGTTCTGATCAACAGCTCAGGACTCTCTGCGATATCATGATGGAAATAATAAGAGGTAAATTATAGCACAACTGCTTATCTCTTGCAGTTGGCATACATAGCATTGCTAAGACATTTTCTTTCTGATACTACACTATGGGTCTAACAGGTTTCCAGCTCCCTGGGTTGAGGATTTGCTGTGCAAACCAGCAGGTCCTCCACAAACGACATATAAGGAAAGAATTAAATCTCAACCTGCTCAGGCACCACATCCACTGACAGGTTAAACCATGGCAATTTCACACTCGTGTTGCTTAGAAGCTGGTCCCCATCACAAAACAGAGGCAGTGGCTGTTTGCAGGAGCACAGTTGTACTACATGTGCTGCCATTCGGCTGCGAAAGCAGCCAGTTCTTTGGGTCAGGAGTGAGGGTCAGGTGCTCTCTGTGACAGCACAGCATTTCACTCTCCCATCTCCAGCTCAAGTGCAGCAAATCCCAGTAACGCCACAGTTTTAGCACCCCAGCATGGTCTCGGTGAAATCCTTTTGGTAGCCTGCTCCATCTCATCCACAGCAAACAAACATCCACACCAAAAACCCCACTCTATCCTTAACCATTGGCAGCATCAGCAGAGAGGCAAGAACCAGCCAAGGAAGCTGAAACAGTCTCAAGCTGCAAAGGAGGGACTGAAGCACATGGTAGGAAATCCCTGTGTCACTTGTATAGAGAGACAGCTTCTGCTGCCTGCGCTCAGAGCACCTCAAACCTCTGCCGCTTCACAGGAAAAATAACCTAAAGTTCATTAGGAAACCAAAATAAAGGAACCCAGCAAACGTCTGAGAAAACTGCTTTAGTTCAAGCGCACTGATGGGAGCTCGAATCCACGATACACACAGAGAGCAAAGAAGGCAGCGCTCAGGAAAACCAAGTGTGTGCTTGCAGTGCCACAGAGTCATTGGCTTGTCACGCAAGCGGGCAGGATGCAGGATCTGCAGCGAGCGTGCATACAAAACCCAACAGCCTCGGCTCATTTGCAGCCCAGCTGCATCACAACCGCTCCTGGTTGTGGCAGACAGCACGGCGCAGCCTGCTCCGTCCTCCTGCCTACCCTCCAAGGCCTGATCTTCTGCATCACCCCAACTGCTCCTCGATGAAGAAACTGCTGAGCTTCCTCTGCAAGAGAAACACAGCTACGACTCCATTTTAGCACTGCCTGCAATAAGAGCCTGGGTTCATCTGCACCCTCAAACCCACGGCTGGAATCCATAGATCTTCCCTAGCTCAATAAAACCTCCTGGGCCTGACAGATTCATCAGCAAAGAGGACACTCGCTGTGTGCAGAGGGAAACCGGGTGCCTTGAATAAGAAACACCAAGTTGCACCAGAAGGATCTCGCACTGAACTGATAAACGTACAGAAACACAGGAGGGTTTTGGGCAACCATTACCCCAGTTGACAAGGATGGGCTCTGAGCTCCCAGGGAGCTGCACAGGCCACTGACAGACTCACACACACATGCAGTGAGCAGACACCCCCGTGTCCCCCGTCTTGAAATGCACATATAAACCTGCACAAAGCACACAGTGCCTCGAAGAGCACCCAGAGGCTGTAATTCCACCCATCTTCTTGCCTTGGCTGCAGAAGTGTGAAATAGGGGAGCCCTATAAAGGCTGAACCATGGAAAATTCCCTTCTGGTCCGTAATAAACAAGATATATGCAGCACTGGTCACTAAGGGGTCAGTGCTGCAAGAGCACAGCGCTTTCCCTTGCGGATAGCTCCCTGTGGGGTACCATTTCTTTGACCCAGAATAAGATCATTTATCATACTGACCATGGCTGAGCTCCAATTTGCTGAGGTCACTAACTCTGGACGAGCGCCGCTCCACCCACATTCTCAGCCACCGGCCTGTAACCATGACAAAGCCCCTTCCCTGCAGCTCCTCTGCCATTATTCCCCCTGCCTGCATGGAAATGTATGGAAAGACAATTTGTATGCC